AATAAATAAATAAATATATATATATATATATATATATATATATATATAAAATAATTGTGGATATCATAAAATATTTCTTTAAATAAACAAAAATTTTATCAAACAAGCAACTATTCTTATTCGATGTACTAAAATTTTGGTTATTTCTATTTGCCTATACATAAAGAGATACACGTGCGAAATAAAGGAACGCACGTGGTCATTTTAATTTTGAAGATTTGGCTAAGTGGATAGAATTATTCAAATCTTAAAACCAGCCCATCCCATTCATAATTGGCTGAGTTTAATGAAGTGAAACATAATTTACGTTTAGCCTTTACTTTCGCCTATAGCAAAATTAATTAGCGTAGTTTGAAATGATTTTTAGAAAGTTAAAATGAGTTTTCAAAACTTAAAAGTTATTTTACGATTCATTTTGCCAATTTTATGAAAGTACTTCTTTTAATTAGAAAAGTTTTCAACGGAAAGTGATCCAATTTGACTTTTTCTAAAAGCACTTTCAATATAGAAATCTCGTTTAAAAATTAATTTTCAAACAAAAATTAAGATAATTATCTCCACTAGTCAAAGTTAAACGTGCACTATACGTTATTCTAAAATACTTTATAAGTGATATAAAAGTAATACTTGATACCAATTTATGAGATGATTTGATAAGTTTCGAACGAATTAAAGAAAGTAAAATTTAACATACAAATTTAAGAGAAGAAAATTGTACTCTCAAAACTTAATTTCTATAATTCAAATTTTTTATAATGATGAAATAATATAAATGAGCAATCTTTTCATATTAAATTTGATACATAAAAATTAATTGTTAATAAATAAATTTAAACGCCCATTAAAATTTTTAGAAACATGAATATGAATAAATTCATTTATAATAACTTTAGATTCAAGATTCATCAAGTGAAAATTCATTGAATCTGGATTAATGTGAATGTTAATTAATTGAGAATTAATAATAGAAAATTCATAAACGACAATAATTATGTAGTATTTATTATATATCGAAAAAATAAAAGTAAGGTATTACTGAAATAATTGACTTATAGGGAGGTTAAAATCGTTCAAAAAATGATTTTCTCTTAACGTGATACTCAATATATTATAGATTATAGATATGCTCTTCTATAAAAAGTAAAAGCAAAAATAATGACAAATGGCCTTTAGTCACTCCATCCAATTAATACCTAATCAAGTGCATTGAAGTAAAGCATAATTACTTTCATTCTTTCGTTTCCACCTAAAGCAAAATGAATTACTCCCTCCACCCAATTGGGCAAGTGCAATGAAGTGAAACATAATTTATTTTTTACCTTTCCTTTCACCTATAGCAAAACGAACTACTAGTATTTTTATTTCTCTAAGCAAAGTATCAAAAGCGAAAATAAAGGAGAAAGAAGAAAATGTGGTAGAAACATTAATTCAACAAAGTTTTAGGTAGGACACTTTTTGAGTGTTCAGGGATTAACGGCAATTGTCTCTTAGTATTCCACGACCACTTTTCATTATAGTAGTAATTCAAATTACGAGAACAATCAACTAGACAACATTTTGTAGTATCTTTGAACGAAATCGAACTAGAACTACATGCCGACAATGCAGGGACAAAGAAAAGTGGTTGAAAATTGAAACGATTAATTGGTCACATATATATAAACTATCTTAAAAACGTGGCAAGTTTTCTCATTTTCAAATAGACATTTCTGTTTAGAAAGGATATGTCCTGGAATGACATTTCTACAATAATTCGGGCATGACTTTTCAAATAAACAATTTGTAGAATGTTCAGTGACGTGTCCTACTAGGTTAATTGAATATTTCACCATATTTTAATATTAAAATTCCTTCTCATTCCATGTTTTCGGAGATTAATTTTCGACTTTAATTTCTCACTCACCCAAAATTAATTTTGACAACAAAATATACTAACGATAATCTCACGTTATAACACATTAAACAACTGTCTACATCTAGGACTAGGTTGCCACACCGACATTAATTAATTTAGTGCATAAGCATAAAAAAAATAACATATGCAATTGATGTGGTCTAGCAACTGCCTACTACGGGCCTTGCCCAACTATTGACAATTAAGGAAAACGAAAATGTCACCAGGTACTTCAAATTTATTAAAAATTCATTCTTGACCTTTCCAAACTTTTTCCACCGAATATACTACAATAAATAAAAAATGAAAAATATTCTCAACCCCATATATAATATACTAAAAGCTGAAATCACATCACCAGACACGCCTCGTAAACCATCCCCAATTCACGTCCCATTTTCCCAATCTCCCACCTTTACCATTAATCCACGGAACCAAGAAATTGGCAAATCAAAACAAAACAATCTTCAATACACTCCAAGAACTCTGCAAATCATATCTCAATATGTTATTCCGCCATATTTTTCAT